CCACGCTCTCCATGACGGTGCCCTTCACTGCCCTCCAGTTCTTGGCGTACGAGTCCATATCGACGGCCATGAACCCCAACAAGGGATACGATCCCACAACACATTGCTTGGCTGGTGGTGTCGCCGGTGGTTTCGCTGCCGCTTTGACTACACCTATGGATGTCATCAAGACGATGCTTCAGACCCGAGGAACTGCCACCGACCCAGCATTGAGGAACGTGAACGGATTCATGGCTGGTTGCCGGTTACTGTACGAGCGTGAGGGTTTCCGCGGATTTTTCAAGGGTGTGCGCCCCCGCGTGGTGACCACCATGCCCAGCACTGCCATTTGCTGGTCTGCCTACGAGGCTTGCAAGTATGTTGCCCTTAATCACTCATCAGCAAAGCACTATTCTAATACAACAACCTTGCAGGGCCTACTTCATCTCCAAGAACGACAACCCGAACCCTTGAAGGCGGTCCGCCGCTGCGCATATAGAAAAGAATGTCATTGACGATTCGATCACCGATTAGAGCGGTCTTGTAAATTTAGAAATCAGGGTCGAGGCCCATGAGGAACTCGGACCACCGAATTGGTCTTTTTATACTTGGGGGTACAATAAGCACGATACCAGCAATCCCGGCGAGCATTACTCTCCCTCTGCTAGGTAGTGGCGCGAGGAATGACACACGCCGTCTTCCAAGCGGGTCTATCTGGTGCCGGGGAGCTGGTGGTTTGGCAAAACGCAACGTTTGAAAGGATACTCAACATGTTGGCGTCAGGAAATGACGGACTTGCCTGGAGTTGGTATGCTCACGGACGGATTTATAGAAACTAATCTGATATGCCGTCCCTCACTCTCCTCTACATTCGCTATGATCTGTCATTGGCATGTTCTGCCTCCACGGGCCTGTGACAGCAACAGGTAAACATCACTGAACTACCGTTTCGGAATTTGTCAAGCATTCAGGTGATCTCGGCGCGCGGGATTCACGCTGAGTTAAACTATTAAAAGCCTCCAGCATGCGAGGCTTGCCCTCTGTCGATAACATGATCTGTATGGTCGTCTTCGTCTCCTTGCGAACACCGTCACTCTGACGGCAAGCGCAATTGTCTTGACGACGAGACTTGGTGACATTTCAACGCTTCAAACCGAAAGCCATGATGGAAAGATGTATTGGCACATTGTGTATATTTCTGACACCTTAGACAATGGAATCGACCCCAGATATCTGGGGAAGTGTGCACTTGACTGGCTTCTTGCCTCATGGCCTAGAGCCGTTTCCCCGTCTCAAACTACGAATGACGATAAAAAGTAATGCCGGCCGTTGAGTGAGGCCCCGTGAAACTCCAGGCTTTGACCTATAAAACTCCTTGATTCCATGCTGCGCTCTCTCAGAGTCTTTCTCAATGCTGTCACAACCCCGTCTTCATTAGAAGGGGAAGCCGCCACCACCGCCTCCTCCGCCAAACTTAAAGTGGAATTGCTGGCCTCCACCGCCGCCGCCCTGCTGGAACATGAACGGATGGCCGCCGCCAAAGGGGTTACCCTGGAACGGGCTGCCTTGCTGCTCCTGGTTGTTCGGGTCGTCGCCGCGGTCGAAACGTTCGCGGAGCTCAGGGTTGCTGAGGACCTCGTACGCCTCATTGATCGATGCCATCTTCTTCTCCGCCGCCTCCTTTGTGAGTCCCTGCTTGGCGGCCTTGTCGGGGTGGTGGATCTTGGAGAGCTTGCGGTACGCCTGCTTGATCTGTCGCTCGTCGGCGTCGTGAGAGACGCCGAGTACCTTGTAGTAGTCCTTCGTCTTGCTCCGCTTCAATGCAATCTGGGCCTTTTGCATGAGGGGCTGGACAACGTCGTTCTTGTCTGGGCGGATTTTGCTAGCCTCCTCGAAAGACCTGATGGCCGCCTCGAACTCTTCTCCCTCCATCATGACCTTGGCGCGGTATAGCAAACCATAGAAGGATTGCTCGTTGAGAGCGAAGGCCTCTTCGCAGTATTGCTTGGCCTTCTTGCCGTTCATCTGTGGCGGTTGTTAGTCAAATCATGTGCAGCTTCTTCCGTTGAGTGCAGTACTTACGTCGTAGTAACCTTGGCAGGCCATTTCTGCCACTTGAATGTACAGCGATGACTGAGCATTGGAGGGGATTGTGCCGTCAGCGCGCAATTCCTCAACTTGGGTCTTGATGTCTGTGATCAATCCAGTGTCGTCGGCAGAGTCGATCAGGAGCTTGACACCAGTCATGGGCTGGTTCTTCTCGAAAGCTTTGTTAACCCTGTTCAGGGTCTTTTCAATGGCCTTTTGTTGCTTCAGAAGCTTCCTACAGGGCTTCGAATCGGGATCGGAGTGCAGGCACTTCCGCGTCTGGGCCATGCCGTTCTGGAGATCACCGAGTCCGTAGAAGGTGATGGCGGCGATCTTGATGTGCGGCGTCGTGTCTCCCGGCCTCATCTGCAATACGTGGTGCAGATCGCTCATGCCCTCCTCGACCTCACCCCGCTGGAAACGGCAGCGCGATCTCATCTCACGCAGGGAAATGGCTCGGTTGGCGGTCATGATGGCCTGACCGGCATGTCCCACGCAGGCTTCCCAGTCGCCGCTCTTCTCAGCTGCCTCAGCGAGATGGGCAGCGCCCTGAGCCTCGTCGAGAGCAGCGAGCTCAACTGAAGCGGGGTCCTTCTTGGCCAGTTTGTACTGCTCCCTTGCGCCGTCCCAGTCTGCAATCTTGGACTTGATCTTGGCTAATTGCACATGGGCACCCTCGAAGCCCGGCTTGAGTGACAGAACCTTGTTAAAGTCTTCGGTTGCCTGGTTCGTACGGCCGAGGGAGAGATACGTTGTCGCGCGCTTGAAGAGCGTCAAGTAGTTAGAAGGATCGCGGGCGACGGCGGCATCGTAGTACACAAGGGCATCGGACGTCTGGCCCTTCGAAAGGTGAGCTTGAGCGGTGGTAAGGAGGGAAGACACGGGGGTATCGGAGGGTATCTGGTCGGCGGATATGGCGAGAGTGGGCGTCGAGAGCAGACTGGCTGCGAAAGCCAGGGCGCAAAGGCGGACGTACATGGCTGGCGCCAGGTGATTGCGAATAACGAGTGTAGAGGAATCTGTTGCTCAGAGCCGGATATGAGGGCGGGAGTATGTGGACAGGTTTCGAAGGAGAAAGAAGACAGGACCCAGGCTTAAGAAGAGAGGGGGGGGATTGGGGCGGGTATAAAGAGAGTGAGGAAATTGGAAAAGTTGTCCTCAAAAGAAGCCAAGTAATACGGATAGGATGAAAGCTACATATGACCATATAAAGCTAAGGTTGTGGGGCAAGTAGTCCTTAACGGGCTGACAGTGACAAGCCTCCTTTGTGTCCTTCTCCCGGAGATGCTGTACGTTGTTTAGGAGTACACAAACACCAATCGGCTCTTTTAATAGCCATAATTGCCTCGAGCAACTGGCGTACACCATGGCAAGGCAATAACAAGTCATGGAAATGAACACGAATCTCCTTTTCCGTGAGGTTCCTTGGTAAATAATGCATGGCAACCCGGCAAACTGGATAGCGCATTACCTTGAAGTTACCACCCCAGGAGGATCGAGTCGCAAACTCAATATTCCGTCAATGAATGCGACGGGGACTCCTACTTGGGAGACGCGCTGAAGTGTCCAGATTTCAGTAGACACAACGGAGATCGGGTCCACTTAGCGCTTCTTTGCAGGGGTCTCATTCACACTCTGCCTAATTAGGTAGAGCTCTGTACCTTACAGAGAACTACGTACCTTGCCGTTCGTACCCTGCATTTCACTTGCATTGCCTTTCAGAACCTCCCGCCGCCAATCAGTCGCGAGACAAGGCAGCCAATGCACCCCAAATTCCTTGACAAAATAACAGGCAACAACGACAACGATAGCTGCCGGTAACTCTACTGCTCATACCAAAGAGGGGTGCCTCTACATGAGTTTCTATACAGGAAAAGAGACAGCTGAACCTCACCGCATCTCAACATGGCTCATCTTCCACCTTCAACAGCCATCTTCTCACCCTCGATAGCCCGCATCGCCGCCTCCACCGCCAAAGACTGGAGCTATGTTGATGGCTGGCTCGCTTCAAAATACCAGGGCCGTTCCATCCCGCCCTTCGAGCGCAGTCCCGAGACCCTCAAAGCCCTCCTGGCCCTTGCCAACATCAACGAAGCCGCAGATGAAGAGCATGAATTAGTCGCTCGAGCCGAGGCCGCCGCCCTCCAGGAGCTCAGCATCGCCCAAGACCGCTCGGAACCCCAATCAGACCTCCCGACCTCAGCCACCGTCCGGGAGAGGATTCTCGGCACCGTACAGGATCACCTTACCCGTGAAGGACGCACCGCGCTGAATTCTCTGGCCACCCTTTCATGTCAACTCTCCGTAGCCCACCCGGATGCTGAGAGTCTTGGCCGTTCCATGATTGCTCTGCACGCCGAAGCCTCAGAGCTAGAGCAGATGCGCGTTCGGGTGCACATCCTCCAGAGCCATATTGAGCGAGAGGCTGCCATGGCCCGCGAGATGCTGCGCACCTTGAGAAGCGACGACTACAAACCCGTCGCTGACCTGGCCCGGCAGAATTTGGACATGCAGAGGAGGATTAAGACGATGGCCGCGCGCATCCCCGAAATCAAGGACCGCATGGCTACCCTCAACCAATCCCCAGCTGTCTCTCATCCTACCATCGAAAAGGTTGCTCAAGACGAGGCCGGCTTTCTTGACCTCCTTGCCCAAAAGAAGGGTCTGGATGCCGAAGTCGGCCAGTTCTCCGCTCTCCCCGATGATGTCGCAACAGCCCGTGCCGAGTTAGAACACCTTCGCGCAGAAGTACGGGCCGTTGCGCAGCACCGCGATGCAATATTCGAAGGACTCGTTGAACGCGAAAGTCCCCGCAAAGGCCGTTGATGATTATTCTACTTCGTTTACAATACAGACACTTACAAGCGTACGCTTGCGTGTGTTGGGGGTATTTGAACAATGATTCGCTAAAGGCTACCAGTCTGCATCGACCCTTAGCCAGGCCGCTTTCCCCTGACTGCGCCTCCCAGGTTCCTAATCTGCCGCATTCCCAAACCTGATCTCTTGGCTGCCGGTGGTGCAGGTGGAGGAGGATCTTTGATTGGAACAGGTGGCCCGCTTGTGTTGCGTGCCTCTTTTGGTCCCTTGGAGTCGAGGCTTTCTCCGAGCCGCAGATCCGCCACACCGAGGCTGCCGCGGCCTTCCTCAACATCGCCAGAGTGTCTCTGAGCTCGGCGAGCCCTTTCCTGGACGGTGCGGAACTTCTCTAGTAGCTCATTCCATCGAATGATGCTATCCTCTCTACTCTTAAGCCTATTCGGCCTGTCGTAACTTGAGCTTGCAGTGGACGGTGGATTCCTATGAAGTCAGGGTCAGCAATTGTCATGTAATTACATGTTGAGGTTGCCAATGTCCTAGGGACAGGTACGGCCCTGTAGCACTTACACCTTGGGGGCAATGTGGAGGTAACCGATTGAACTGACAGCGTTCAAGCGATTCTTCAGGGCGGCAAAGGCCGAGGACTGGGGGAGGAGCATCAAAAGGCCGTACAGACATTTGTACAAGTGAGGAAATTTCTCAGGCTCAAGCAGCTGCAGTCGGAGGTCTTTTGATCGTTAGCTGGAGTGAGATCATGGGCTGTTGGGAACTCACAAGTGAATACAGGAGATTCTATCAACTGCACCAACTTATCAATCTGGATGAGAATATTCACCGTCATCTCCAGCTCGGCGCTGTGACCGCCCCATTAGCCCACAGTGGTCGTAAGAAAATCGCAACAAGCTCAAGACTCACAAAATTTGCAGAAGATTATAAGCCTGCTCGTAAGCCTGCGCCAACAGGCAGAGGGAAAAGGTTGCGACGGCGTTGTGGCACCACGAGCGGAACAGCGCGACAAAGAAAGTTTGTCCGTCCTGTGAATTGTTCGTAAGCAAAGTAGTCGAAGTAGGAAAATCGGCAATCTTGCCTTCGACTCTAGATTCCGAAGTCTCTTGCGCAGCTCCGACAGCTCTGGAGCAGTGATGAGGTTGTTGTTCAGATTCTGCACCATTATGCTAGCAAATTCGACATCTTCCTCCTTTTCGATACAGTCTGCGAGTGTACGGTATATCCTCTCCGCGCTCAAGCTAACGCAAAGCTGACGGATGATCAGGTTCCCTCGTGTCTCCAGCAGTTTTCTGTCAGTAGCAAACAGCTGCAATAAGTTGACCATGAAGTTTGAAAAGTAGTCGTCTTCGCTGTTGCGAGAAATCTGTGACAGTAGCTGTAGATCTTTCGTGACGACAGTTTCGGCTGGATCCGAGAGCGTCTTAAGCAAGGCAGGGAAGGTTCCGTCGTTGAACGCGAGAACTTTCCGAGGAGCCTTCCTGTGAAGCATTATCAACCACGTCAAGGCCGCAACGCGAGTTGCTTCATGGTCATTGAGGAACAAGAGCGTCAAGGCGTTCACGGCTGCGGCATAGTCCAGATCTACCTGGGGATGGTTATTTGCTAGCGGCGCAACAGGTGTCGAGAGAGAACGATTGTGTCCCTGGGCTGGGGTTGGGCTCCGCATTTCGAGGTCCCGTGAACTAGAAAGAGAAGCTCGTGCACTAGATGGCCCCTCTTGCCGTTCACCGGATACTGGAATGCGTGACATGGACTGTGAGTTGCCGCCGATTTCAGGCTCATCAGAGAGGGAGACGACGTAATCCATTAGGCCTGCATTGACGCGTGCGGCAGCTTGGCGTATGGATTCAACACCACTGGCCATAGCAGGTAGCATGTGAGCCAGGACCTTAGGAGTGAATGGTAGCACCTCTTCGGGGCAAATGTCCAAAAACTCAACTATCCATCGTAGCGACTCCAAGAGAGAGTCCTCCTCTATCACACAAAGAGTCAGCTATGATTCAGGCTGAAGCTCCGTGGCGGTGTGAAATGCAAGCCTTACCAAGGGGCGAGTCCAGAGTGGCGGTCAATATCTCGAGAATTTTTCGGTAGTTGATTTGGACATCTTGTCCTGGTACCCAGTCTTCCTCGCCGCTACTATCATCGTCATCGGATTGCGAATCAACCTCATCGCCCTCCTCCGGGCCGATCTGGAGACTCCCCGAATCTACAGACTCCTCGCGTTTCCGCTTTCCGCCTTCACGCGACTTCTTGCTCTCGGCGATGCCCTTCTTGATCCTAGATATCCTTTTAATTTCGCTAAGAAACTTGTCGAGGCAGGCTCTAGTTGCAACGTGAACATCTCTATTTGGGTCACTCAGAAACCTGAGCAAACCACCGAGGAAGTCAGGGAGAAATGTGACAAGTTCCAAGTCGGGAATAGAGTCGAGCAATGTGATCCAGCCAACTAGGAATTGGCGGGTAAAGGGGTTGATGACCCAGATGCGCTCTTGGAGGAGTGGGATGAATCGGCGTAAGGAAAAGGCGGTGGGAGGGGCAGCGCGTTCTTCAAGCTCGTCTTTGTCGCTAAGCTCCTGCTGGTCCAACTCTCCCTCAAGGACGGATACGTACGACGCAGCGGATTCAGAGACAATGTCTTTGATGAGTCGGTCGAGCAGCTCGGCACCGTTTTTAACGGATAACTCAGAGTCAGCTCCCAGCTATGTGTGGTCAGGTCAGAAATGCGGGCGTAAGGAGACATTGAGGGGTCCTTTTTCTTGACTTTGACGTCGATTGTACTGACCTTGCAGAGTGCATCGAAGATGTCGTTAAAGTATATCAAGATCTCCCCCTTGGCGACCTTGGCAATATTGTACATGGCCTCGCAGGCATAGTATCTGACTCTCGCATCTTGATCGGTGAAGCATGCTAGCACTGGCGGAACGATCTTCTCGAGATAGCGGGGTAGCTCCTATGATGTTGATAATCAGCCACAAAGGTCCCGGCCGATAATATTGGTAACAGTCAGTTCATGAAAGATGCATGTTGGCACATACGTGACCGAGGGCGATGGCAGCTGCTGCCAGGCCTATCAAGCCTCCATTTCGGGCATGTGGTTGATGGACGGCGTAGGCGAACTCATTGCAGAGTTGCTCGAGGATTGCTTGGACTCTTGGATAGTCTCTAGTAACTACCAATTCTCGGATGACCCGTTCGAGCCTAGGGTAAGTGGGAAACGAAAGAGTCAGCCACGAGTGAAGAGCATGAGATGAGTATGAGACGAAGTGAGATGGAGTGAGTGAGAATGGCAGTTGGGAATGGGAAGACGTACTCAAGTGCGCCGACCTTGCGCTTGTCATAGAGCTTATCGTTCAAAGCTCTCTGGATGCTGACTTCCATGGTTGATGGCGAGGTCGAGACAGCAACGACGGGATCATGTCCCGGAACGTTGGCGTAGGACCTTGTATGAGACGAGTCGGGTGCAGTCCAAGTCCAGGTGAGGTTAAGGTAGGTACGAATATCAGTAGTCCGCGTTGGGTCAAAATGGTGGAGAAGGATACGGATAAGATGACTGGAGCCAATGGAGAACTGAACTGAGCTGAGCTAGGTGACCTGAGCTGGGGTCACTCCCGGGTCACAGTGGCAGTATCCGTGTGTTTAGTGGGAAGTGTCGGGGTCTTGGGGACTTGGAAGCCGTCACTGAAGAAAACTAAACAAGTAAGGAGTTGCAGATGGAGGGAATGACGAAATGTTTAGAGGTGCCACGTTGAAGTGTGATGTCGCGATAGGCGCGCGGAAGTGAGGCTGCAGCCGGGTTAGGAGCAGGCGAGACCAGAAGGAAGCAGGCTTTGGGACCGCGGGACGTCAAAAAAGAGGCGGGTGCAGGCGGCAGTCGGAGGTGGTGTGGCGTCACTGGCGAAGAACCAACCACTGGCACCCTTCCATACCTAGGTACACCCAAGCACCCAAGGTGCCTTGCTCATGGGATGTACCTTTTTCCGTTTCCTCCTGAGCACCCGCACCTTGAGCAAGGTGCTAAGGTACTTGCGAAAGGCAGCTCCATATCTTCTTTCCGCGTCTTTGGGAAGCCAAGTTACTCACAATAGGTACCAGACACCTCGCTTTCGAGTTCTGCACCTCAAGACGAGTCACCTGGGTACGGATACATGAATTACAGGAAGCCACAGCAGTCCAAGGCACCTTGGGGGAACTGCAATCTCCAGCGACTGAAAGTGCAAGGGAAGGTGCTTTGGCATGGCTCAATATAGTGGGACAGCCAAGGTAACAGAGTATGAAGTGAAGAGGTCCCTCCCCAGGTATTGGGTAGAGTATGGTGGCTATTTCTGGGACTCTGCAGCCGTGCGAACCTATTGTCATCCTGATAACGTGGTTGACGTGAGACAAACACTCACCTTAGTTAGCGGGGTAATTACTGGGAGTAAACACTCAAGTAAGGGAGGCAAACATCGACGGCATTGATCATTGCATTGAACTGCCATTAATGCGTCGATGCAACTCCTTTATCTCCGGACAGGAATCTTTACAAACTTGGAGACAGCATTTTCCCAACCCCCGCCATATTATGTTCAATAGAGAGTGTATCCTCAGCCACCGTAAAATACGAACGAAGTATGGCGTCTCTTGGTACATCTCCCAGAGACGAGCATCTATATACGCTCTTTTCTTCTTCAACTTTCTCTTCGCTTCTCTCATCTTTGCCCCGCTCCTGAAGTCCCAGCAAATTCACCCAATGCTACCGAGCTTTCATCGCCAAGTCGCGGGTACCAAACCTCGGCGGTGACACGTCGCGACAAAGGCAATTGTTCAACATGCTTCTGGCACCCCAGTATCTTACGAGGAGAGGAGATTCCGAGTGAGACATGAGAGGACCCGTGAACCAATGACATCCCACACCAACCTGCTAATCCTGGTATCCAAAGCCAAGATGAAGGCGTTGATCTCAACCAGTTACAGTGTATCATTCTCACCCCGAAATTTCAGTAATTTGGGTCGGCCTGACCAACTTCCATCTATCCTTGCCCTACTCCGACATCCTGCTGGATTCTGCTTCTCCCTCCATCGATCTCCTCTCACTCTCAACTATCATAGTTGATCCAGGCAGTTTTTTAATCATTGCCATCATCATCATGACTCGGCTCCAAATCACAAGTTGGCACGGCATTATCACATACAAAAGGTAAGTAGTCGATAACGGAATCCAGTGGACTGGCCTCCGAAACATCGTGCCAAGTACTTCGACATTATTAAACGTGTCTAACGACACGAAACTTCATCGATCTGTCTGCACACTGAAGACACTACCAAGCTCCTCACTTATTATCCTTTACTTGACCGACCCCCTTGCGGATCCTTACTCGACGAGCCTTGGTTCTTCTTCTTGTCGAGAGTAATCCTAGCTCGCTGCACAAACTCATGCTGCTTTGTGTGAGCGGTAAGTCTTTGCGAGGGTAGCTATCATTTCAAAAACTTACGTCCTCTCCATAGCGAAGCAGGATTCGCTCGTATGCTTCCTCGTTCATTTCTTCCTGGAGATGCTTGGGTTTGGGCCCCTTTGGAGCACTCGGGGGCCTCGGTGCCCTTGAGGCCTTCTTCTTCTTGCCCTGTGGCATGGTTGAAAGGTTTGGGAGCGGTGTGGAAAGAGAGCTCGGCAGCTGTTGATTTCACCGTTCGAATTGCTCGTCGGCTTAGCCAACTCTTCTTCGACTAGTCGTTTGGGTAACGGACTCGGATATTGCTCAAAGCTGGATAATGACCGGGAATTACGGGTAGATTGTGGTAGGACACCTACAGAATTTGTAGAGGCAAGGGACTGTGAGCTCTGGAGATGCTAATAAAGGCGCTGCTAGAGAGACTGCCGAAGATCTCGAGTCATCTGGCAGGGCATATGCAGTACCTTATATACACTTCTCGACCTGCGCCTTAATTGTTCGTCAACAAAGCATTCGAGGAACTGCATACTAACACGCCCGGGATCTTCACCCAGTAGCTGCCCACCGCCTTTGGCACCCTGGCCATGTTCGGTAAGCTGTTGAGGACCTGTCCAGGAGTTGCTGTTCATGCGTTGTTCAGTCATCCCCCCTACAGTCGTGCCCAGAAACGTGGCGACGGGAGTCTATCGGACTATCAGATCCAGACCATCCCTTCACCAATCCAGAACGACGCCCATACTCCTGTCTCGAAGGAGGTCTTAATGAGGCACCAATGATTCCAAAGACAGTCGTAATTGGTGAGAATGGCTACTTTACAATACGACCACCCGGGAAGTAAGTACATGGGTCGTACAGCCCCATCGACTGTTGTGAATACTTGGCTAACGGCTGTTACAAAAACATATCTGATGTTACGACTACGTCTTTTTCCTTCAAGTACCAACGGGACGGGAGCACGGGGAGCCGGACTGGCCTCCGAAGTTGACCGTCCCGTGTCACCCCGAAGCCTTACGTTCATGTCTGCGCTGCAACCTGGGCAGGCCCGGCGTCTCGATCCTCCCTCCCCTCTCCATCACTGTTTACTATTCTGCTATCATCACTTGTGGCACATGCTACTTTTTTGCTTTTTCTATCAACCCCCTCATCGACTTGCTATGAAGACTCTTCTAGTATCTCGAACTAGGCCCCGTTCTGCCCATTCTTGTTCCGTGGTTGCGGATCTGTTTTGAGGAGAACAGCGCCAAAGGAAGAGACCGCGGTTTGCTCGCTGATAGAGGGACGACAGTCCAAATAAGGTGTTCGTATCCCCACGGTCTGAGAGGTTTAGCGCGTTCACTTGCCATGGCGCTGGAACCTCGTCAAAAGGAAACGGAGGTTGAACCCAGGGAGTTCCCCGTCCGTCCGGGTCGGTGTAGAACTAGAGGGGTGCCCGCCGCTTGGCGTTATTGCTTATTCCAATGTTACGTGGTGTTTCTGTGCTTTTGGATTTGGACACCCCAGCTTTCATGTTTTCCCCCGGGACCCTTCCATCTTCTCTAACTTACCTCCTCCCCCTTTTCTCTCAAGGAGTTGTTGAAACCTAGCTCAAGTGGCTTGAACCGGGTTACGTTCCGATATGGTTTGGGGTCTCACGGCCAGCAGCCTCATCGATTCCCAGATCGTGCATAACTCCCGGGTCAGAACATCCGATCGGGAACGTGAACCATGGATCGGGATAAGAAGCGTTTCCATGTGTGCCACGGCTGGGTGGAGAGGTATGCACGAGACGGGTGGTGGTCAAGAAAAGGCCCAAAGCTCCCATCGAGGTACTGCTGGGGCGCATGCCATGCATGCCATATACTTGTGGAAAAAGCCAGCAAGTATGAGAGGAAATCAACATCTCTTTCCCTTGTGTCTCGTAGCATGGCTCGTTGAGACCCTGCGATCGCGCTTCTAGATCGTTTCGTTACTCCGTATTCCGACATGAGGGTTGTCTCCATGCCTGTCGTTTCACCGTTCTGTCTCAACGTTCATTGGCCGTTGGGGAAACCGGGGAGCGAGGAGAGAATCCCACGCCGGTTGAAGGTCTTGGGATGGTAGTAAGTTGCTGGTAACAAGTCCCCCTTGTCTCTCCCCCCCTCTCTTCTCTCCCCTTTTCTCACCCGTCCTTTCCTCGCGCACAAGGTGGAATAAGAAACGGTACAAACCATGACAGAGGGCGGTGGTTGGATGTGGCACAGCCAAAACCTCGGAAGTAGTCACATAGTCTCCAGAGATGATGGAGGAACGGCTCAAGGAAGGTCGGGCGAAGAAGTACAGATCGGGCAACCCGATCATGCGGTCTGCTGCATAAGTTTGTCACACCGTGTGCATGCGCCTTCGTTCGAACACAGATTTCCATGTCATATCAGATCGATTCTTCCAGATACTATAGCTAATCTTGGCTTGAGCGCCACATACCACATGGTTGGTATGCATGTCTCCTCTTCTCACATCATTCTCCTTACCACCCCTAGTCGCGAACAGGGTCATTGTCTTCCTCTCCCCGCGGCGAGAGGGGTATCTATATGGAGAAGTACATTATGCAGCCAGATGACGAAAATGAGACCAACTCTTTTTGTGAGATTCAGAAACAAGACCGAAACAGCCAACAGGATGCCATTAGTGACCGTGGCCGCTCTGGATGTGATCAGCCGCGACCTTTTGGCATTTTGCCAAGATGGCAGCCTGCCGGGACACCTCGGCCAGCCGACCGATCACGTCCTTGTTACCGTCCACAAAACCGTAGAGGGCGTAGGGAATACCCACGTCGTTGCAAAAGTCCTGCACGAGCCGCTGGGTCTTGCGCAGATTGTGGCGTGGGATGCGCGGGTACATGTGGTGGACGACCTGGAACTGCAAGCCGCCGTGGAAGAAATCGAGCCAGGTCGGGCAGTCGACGTCCATGGTCGTCCGCAGCATCTTTTGCGGGAACGACTCGTGGGGTCCCAAGTCTGCGGTGCTCATGGCGAAGTGGGAGAGCGTGATCTGGACGTGCAACGGGGCCTGGAACATGTGGCTGATGATCACGAAGACAAAGCGGTCCCAATTGGTGGGAATGGACTTGTACACGATGCCGTAGCCGAACCAGGCCCAGAAGAAAACCTGGCCAGCCACCTCGAGCCAGCGGTGCCACCAGGCGATGCCCTTCTTGGGACCGCGGCCCATGATGAGGTGGTCCCACGAGAGTCTGTACAGGTTGAAGCGGCCAAAGAGCATGATGGGGTAGTAGAGATACGACTGCGCCTTCATGAACAGCTTGGCCGCAAAATCGTATTCCATCACACGCTCGTAGTAGGTCGACGTCAAGTTACCAAGGAAGCGGTGGGAGATGGCGAAGAAGGGCAAGTGCTCGATATCAGGGTCATGCTCGGGAGAATTCGTGACGATGTGGTGGACGTTGTGGTTCCGCTTCCACCATCCAATGGACAAACCGCCCATGAAGTCAGCGATGAAGATGCCAATACACGTGTCAACGTGAAAGTTGTGAGTGATGCCCATATGCCCGGCGTCGTGGGCGGTGAAGACGAGCTGGTGCCAGAAGCAGCCCAGACAAGCTGCACTTGGGAAGTACCAGCCCCATCGCAGAAACGTCAGCATACCGACGAAGAGAAGCGTATACCGTGATACTTCAATGGCGTAGGCACGATAGTCGCAGTCATAAAGCCCTTCGGCCTTGATGCGCTTGTCGAGGAGCCTGTACTTTCGCACAATGTCTGACTGCGTCTCGTCGTCCAGGGCAGGGTACTTGTCGAGGTCGAGACGGATCTGTTTCCGTGTCTCCGAGTCGAGGAAAGCAGTGCCGTCCATCTCCTTGTCGTCGTGACCATCGTCGATGACTGACGTGGCCGAAGAGCCAGAGGCTGAGTTCGGGCTCGCCACAGCGCCGTTTCTGTGACGGACGTGGTTCTCGGTGGTGTCGAATACGGGCGAGGCTTCTCGTGAGCTGACGTCGCTGGGAGACGAGGCGCCAAAGAAGCGCAGTGCGTCGTCGTCCTCGGCATGGTCGAACTCGGGACCGCCCTGCTCAATCGTCCTGAACTTGCCTCCCTGAATGGGTGGGACAAAGTTCCTCCAGTGGCCCTCGATTCTTCCGATTCGATACCGAGCCATTTGCGCCTTGGCTTCTGGAGAATGCAGTCTGCCGGGATGCAAGACAATAATAAGCCATTGTGATTTCGGTTACTGTTTCTCTTCCTCTCCCTCTTCCCAGCCTGCGACGGGGAAGGATCTGGTGGGAATCGGGAGAGGAGCAGGGGTGCGCTTACACGGTGACCTCGTCGGTGGCATCTCGACCGACCATGTGCTGGATAGCCTTGTCGCCGCCCGGGTGGTATGCTAGCCACCCGTCCAACTTGACGACGAAATCGTCAACTATTGTGACAACTCTGCCCTGTGCGATCAAATCTTCAATCTGGCGGCGCGACATGAGCGGGTACTCCCTCGTCCTCTTTGGCTTCCCACTCGAAGCTGTCCCCACGGAGGTAGCCATTGCGCTTGCGCTCGCGGCTCCGGCACGACCGTCTTGTGACGTTGCAATTGGGTTTTGACTGTCGGATGTGCAAGGCGGCAAAGCTCAGAAAGGAGCTTGGGACGAGGAATGCCTGGAGCAGGTGCTGAAATACCAATGGAACGAACGAACGAACGAATTTGAGTTCTTGTGAAAGAAAGGCAGCTTCCGGGAATAAAAGAATGGGAGAAGTTAGAGGTGGTGCATTGGAGGGGTGGTTGGAGGCAAGGGAAAAACACCTAATCGGAACGTGGTAAGGGATGCTGCAGCTTTGGTTCGCCGAAGCTCACCGCATCTTCCATGTTGATCCGGCCGTCCAAGGTACTTTGGACCGTACGTACATCAAGGTATGGACGGTACCTTATGTCCAGTAACTAGGCACGTTCCTAAAGGTAGCTGTCAATGAGGCCAAGAGTGGTCCCCGTTGCTCTCAGAAAAAGTGGCATCCTAATTAAGGTACCTCAGCTATCGAAAGTTTGAGATGCTTCTAGTGTGTCAAGAGTGTTTTCCTACGCGGTACAGACAACGTATACCGGCACTTGAGTTCGAGTGTAAGTGGGAGAGACAGGGAGCGAGGTTGACACCTTGGAGGGGCTCTGCGCGGCCTCTGCGCCGGGATCCGCGGCGAAAACCCATCCCGCTCTGTAATACCTCTACTATCTTAGGCCTAGGGCGCTGCGCATCCATGCTTGCCCTTGAATAGGTGTCTACCTACTTTACGGAGTACCGTGCCGTAGCTACCCAGCTAGCCAGGTACCGCCTCATCTCAGCCAAATAACGAATCGGGTGATCGGGGGCCGCTCGAGTCCGCTGACCGTTGCAAATATACAGCCACAGCCACTTTCCTCCCAAGACAAATCGTTCGAGAAACATCACTGATCAGTCCCACCATAGCATGTTTCCAGTTGTCTCAGCTCACATCTGCCTGCGAGTGCGCTTTCATTACCCCATTCCTCACTCGAGAATAGATACACGTGTACAGATGATCATTTGAACTTAGGTTAACTGGGTGAATCCAGCAAACAACTTTCACTTCTTTTTTCCCCCTGGGCTGCCCTCACTTGTTCCCATCGCGATCACATGTATACCTTTTCTCGTCTTCTTTCCCCGGGGTCACTCCCATCGAAAGACCACATCGAACAGGCTTCATCAGGCACTGTCAGACGTGTGGGTCCGGACGGCCCGGTTGAACGGTGCTTGGGCCACGGAGGGCCATCGGATTAGACAATGACAGTTCTACCTACATACCTTGCCTGACCTAAAGCTACGAGTTTCACTTGTAGCCTTGCAGAGGTCCCGTTAGAATGAATTTGGGAACCATAAAGATGCTGCGCCGGTCTCTTCACAACCCAGACTGCGTCAGCCTAGTGGACTTTAGTAGATCATGAGACAAGAATCTCTGAAGACATAAAAATGCACGCATGGCCTAGGCCACGAAGGAAGACGCAGTTGAACAGACGTTCATTCCCAAAAAAAGAACTTGGGTTGTAATACATGTTACACGAAAGTTTTGATACCCGTCATTTCAACCTAAAAAATCATACGTATCCGCCTCGTCCTTGGCTTGCCCGCAGCCTAGCAGAAACAAACGACCATCTCGCTTCCTCCTCTAGCAGCCCTTCTACTTATTTTCCAGATGCCGAGTACAGAGCTCCAATGCCCCAGTACTGCTCCGCATTAAAGGTCGCTGCCTCGGCGTGCTTCCAGAGATCGTTGAAAGCAGAGAAGAGAATCACATCATTCGGATGGCTTGCGTATGCATTCTTGATTGAGTCGACGGCCAACTTTTGCTCAGAAAGACCTGGCACAGCGGCACCGTTAGAATTTCCCTTCCATGGCCAGCCCGTCTCCGTGCAGACGATACGCTTGCTTCGGTCAGTGAGCTTGGCCTGGACCTGCGCAACCGTGTTGGTGATGAACGAGCCAGCGTCCTTCGCCGCCGTGTTGCTGTCGAAGAAGGGGTGAATGTTCATCGCGCAGTAGTCGGAAGCATCACAAAGTGAAGGGTTGGCAAGAACCGCCACAAAGGTATCAACAGTTACGACAGGGCCGGTGTAACCTTTGGCGCGGAGGAGCTGGCGTGTCTCCCCGACAGCTGTTACGATTTGCTGCGCTGTGGCCTTGCCATTGTTGACCAATTCATTGCCGACACTGACAGTATCGATCAGAGACCAGTCGCCGTTGGCTGCCGTACTAATGGCTGCGACCTGTTCAGAGATTGAGCTGATGTCAAAAATGCCCAAGAAGAGCTTGAGACCGGCCTTCTTAGCCGCGGGAAGGGCGTTCGCGATCTGATTGCAGTCGGTACCGTAGGTGCGCACTACCGAGTACTTTCCCTTGAGCTCTGTGAAGTCGGCGTCGATCTCAGCGGCTGTCTTGCACAGTCCCGCTGCTGTGTAAGGGGCATATGCAATTCCGTTCAGGGTCGAGTTTGAAGTGAGAGTGGAGTTCGAAGTGAGGGAGGGTGTTGGCGTAGAGGATGATGTTGAAGAAACGGAGAGTGAAGCGGTCGTCGAGGCGACCAACGGAGAAGAAGAGCCTAGGAGGTCACTAGTAAGGTCTCGTGACGAGGTAACGCGAGTGGCTAGTTCCTCAGATCGGGATTTGAGATCTACAGGCTTCGAGGGGCGTTGGGCTGATTGCGATGGCGGCACGAAGCGGACCGTTTCGACGGTCGTTTCCAAAGGAGTACCCTCTTCGTCGACGTAGACAACTACTTGAGGGGCCTCGGTCGCCTCGTTGAGTGAAGAATCAGTCACGAGGATCTTCTCAGGCCCAACAATTGCTCCTTTGACATCTCTAGTGCCTACACAATTGTGTCAGATATGCTCTTGAACTCCATGGCAACGAACAAGTCCGGCTCACCTTTGGGATGAGCAGCCGAGAGCCCAAACAAGGCAGCGAGCGCCAGTGTTGACGAGATACCGGTAGACTTCATGTCCGATTTGCGACTTTTATAGCGTAGTGACGCGTGGTGATTGGGCCCGATTCAGGCAAAGTAAAAATACCAGAGAATATGGTGGTGTAGACGCCCGTGGTTCTAGGCTTCGGTTGAAGTTGGATTTCGCTGGAACAGGATTGTTCAAAGTCAGGCTATGTAGCGATAGAATCGTGAGTTAAACAGGTTTGGAATCAGGATTGAACGAGAGAGAAGAATGGTAGGGTCAGAAAATGAGTGACTACAACGAAAGCAACAACATCAGCAGGAAAGGAACGAATCGCTGTCGATACAGCTTTGCACTACACGAAGCCAACGGCGACGAGCAAGAGTATAGGACGAGGGAAAGAAGACGAGAAGATGGAAAAGACGAGAAGCACCAAAAGAGGCAGAGATGGCGGGCATGGTGTATTCAAGTAGCGTCAGTCCTCCACCCCCACGGGGGCGTCCTTGGTACCTGGCTGTGACTTCTCGCGGCCCAATCATGCAACAAAGTTGCTCGGCAGGGGCTTGATGTCTTGTTCCAAGAACTGCAGGAACGGGATAAAATGAGGTACGGGAGACAATTGAATTAGGAGATGAGACGGGAAGGGAGTAACGAGCGGAGGGAGAGACAGCCCAGCCAGAGGCAGGAATGTTGGTTCCCACTTGTAACAAGCAACACATTGCACTTGTGGAAAGAGCCAACACTTATCCTAGGGGGCCGAGGAACCTCTCCCGAGGAATTCAAAATCACCAAGGAATTGATGTAGACTTCTTAACTCACTTCCGAAAACGGGTTTCGTAGCTTAGGTTGTTGTTGTTGTTGTTGTTGTTGATGATTTGCAGAGTGTTGGTCACACTTTGTTCTCAGTATCTGGAGATAAAAGATAAACAAATGTCGAGCCGTTGGTGTGAATGAGTTTCTGGTCCTCGATGTCGTCTTCTGAGTTCGACCAATGTAGGTTCGATTGCTCCGAGTAAGTGCAGCCAAGGAACGCGATGCTTGAAGGGCCTTAATCTTGTAATGTAGGTCAGCATTTGACGTGGAATTTCTACCTGTGATCGACACACGCTTTGTGAGGCAAGCGCCAACTTACAGTAGATCAATGTATGGGAAGCGTTGCACTTGTATGCTAGGTAGGATTGGGTTCTGCAACTGAAGGAATGTTGTTTCTACTCAAGAAGCATAAGGAAAGTGAAGGGAGGCAATAGAGATGGTCGTCTCAGACGGTTCAATGAATGTGTGAGGATCTCGAGAGCTCATGAGATGAAAAAGGAACGACATCGAGGCATCTTATAGAGGTCACCGTATGATCAAAATACTCTATAACCTGGACCCAGCTCCACACACATGGTTTAGAGCCTCCTGCATTCTACCTCTTCAAGCCTCCGAGGAGGAAGACGACACAACCTGCCTGAGGTAGGTACTGTCAAGGCTTCTCGCTTGAAACCCTCATCGGCGCCGTGTAGGTAATCAAAGGCGGTGCCCGGTTTTGAAGAGGCGGCCGGTCTTTGAACGCCAATTTCATACAGGTACCCGATCCAAGTGCCTAGTAGCGCAATGGATTTACGAATTTGTACCTAGTCAAAAAGACCTTGACGCGTGTTCGAAGAAGACTCGTCACTCCCCCGACTTCTGGGGCTTAGTCTTGAAAAACCCTTAAAAGCCATCGGAAGAGGGCAAAACACGTATGGTAGAGCATGTCTAAGAGATGTATCGCTGGTCTAGAACACTTGCAGGACCCGAAGCTGCGGTTTGGCCGGATGAAGAAGGGGAAAGAGAGGAAACTTTCCGAAAGGTCTGGACCTACGGAGTCCGTCGACAAAGGTGGAGGGCGGCATAATGCCGAGTTGTTGGGGCCAGTTGACCGTCCGCCCGATGCCGGATCCGGAGCCGAGCTGACAGCGGGAAGTGGGTGGTGGCTGGCAGTATGGCCTTTGTGTTTGCTGCCATCACTCATGTCCCCTTTGGCAAATTTTCTCGAGTCTTTGTCTAGCGTTCCGAGCTCTCTCTTGCATAGCTCCGCACGCCGATTGTTTCAAATTCCTGTGCGACAGGAGACGTCCGAGATGTAAATATTTGACTGCTGTTCCAGCCTCTGTGATTAATTAGTATGTATATGTATGTCATTACAAGTGAGCCCGCGAACTCTCTAGGGTATCCGAGTCCCCAGCCGCCGTGATCTCGATTCCGGCATTATCTATGTTCGACACAAGTCCCAGTACGCATGTGAAAACGACACCCGCATAAAGTCATCCACTCTAGTGCATGCCGTAAAGTCATTCCAAGCAGAGTATGAGTCAAGTGCGCTATGATGACTTGGAGCTCGACTTCCGGGTCATGACCTTTGTGATAGCGTGTCGGATCGTGACACCTGCTTTCTCAATGTCCTTCCTGGGCAAGCCGGTGGTCAAGCAAACCTTGAGCGCTGGCTGGATCTGCCAGCTGTCATCCTTCGGGTTCAGGTCGTTGGCAATGGGCATGCTCTTGAGGCGCGTAATGAGAACCCCGTTTGCAAGGGCCTTGATGGGCAAACCACGGTTAGCACCGTCTTCTTCTGGAATCTCATATGTCAATGGCTTGCTTACCTCATCAACGCAGTCTTGTAGTAGCCTTTCTTGGTCCTCTCGTGTAAGCTTGCGCGCAGCGACGACCTCGGCCTTAAGCACCAGCAGCATGATGGGATTCTCGGGCGAGCTGGTGCAGACGACCCAGTCACTGCGAGGATCCAGCTGTGCCCTCATGGCCTTGGTGTTCTCACGGCACTGCGTAAGGATGTCCGGGTTAGATTGCAAAACGCTGAGAGTCTCACTGGCGGTGACCGCAAGCATGGCTGGCAAAGCAGCCGAGAAGGTGTAAGAAGCTGCCGTGAGACGTTGGTGCTCAACAACATCCTTGGCACCGGCGCAGAAGCCGCCTCCAGCGCAGAGAGGGCCGGCGAGAGAGCCAGCAATCATGTCTACCTGGGAGGGGTCGACGTTTTGCGCTTCCGTAAGGCCCCGGCCAGTTCGACCGAGGACGCCAAAAGACCAAGTCTCATCGAGGATGATGCGGAATTTGTACTTGTGCTTCAGTTCAACCTGCATGCCTTGTCAGCCAATAATGGTCTCTTTCCTGTGGTGGCGAAAGTAGCGCTCAAGACGAATCACTCACGAGTCTGGGCAGGTCCGCGCTGTCTCCCGTGATCTCAAATAGGCCTTCAGAGACAATGAACCTTCTCGTCAACTTCTTGCCCTTCTGGTCCTTAACCACTTTCCGGATGACACGTTCAAGGTCGTCCATATCACCATGGTTGTACCACTTGATGGTGCTTCGGGACGCCTCCATACCCTTGCGAATGGAGTAGTTGACAGCGCGGTCAGCGACAATGATATCTCCGCGCTTGCAGAAGGCGGGGATGACACTCGAGATAGTAGAAAAGGCTTGGGCATAAACAATGCAGGCTTCAGTACCAAGATAGGCGGCGATGTCTGCTTCGGTCTTCATGTGCACGTCCTGAGTGCCGTAGAATTGGGGAGGACCGCATGGGCCCACGCCGTAGGTGCGCAGCGTCTGGATGGCCTTGTCCTTGATCTGTTCGTTGGCATTGAAGTTATAGAAGTTGTATGAAGCGAGGTTCGTGACGGTGCGTCCGTTTGCGAGCTTGGTCTTGGGGCCGGTCGGTCTGGAAGATGTCAGCCAAGAGATTCCCTGGCAAAGGATCATCAACAGGAAAGGGGAGGTCGGTCGTACCCAACAATCACAGGCAACCTCTCGGCCTCGATCTCCTCAAGAGCTGTTTGAGGAGCCACAAGCGGCTCCGGGGTCCAGTCTTCTACCAACTCGTCGATTTCCTAGCCACCAGTGTCAGTAAAAGGCTCGGGGTATCAGAGCCAAGGGGCCGGGATAGGATATCGAATTCAACGCACATCATCGCGGAGTTTGATGAAATTCTGCTTCTGGGTTGAATAGGAGGGCGACAAGAGATAGCGGACGAAGAATATGAAGAGAACTAGCTCGATGCCGGAGCGAATGGGATCGTTCTGGTAGCTCGATTGGATGTAGCGAATTAGAACGGCTGATCCAGGGACTTTTTGAAAGGCCTCGGAGGCCTCGTGCAGCCAGGCGATCAGCTTCGTTTGGGCCTCGCCGGCGTCCATGATGGCTTTGACGAGATGGCAGAGGTGGGATAATGTAGTTCGATCGCACGAGTTGACTGAAAGAGACGAAGGAATGCGGGAGGCGGGTCGACAACTTGATGTGTTGTAGAATGGTTCAAGTTGTGAGTAGTCGCGGCCGAAGAATCCGGACGTGGTACCTTTGTGAAGGAAATGAGGATGACGGGATGGTGCGTTGGATTGTCAGCCAATCCTGGTGCGATAGGTGCTTTGCGTCTGCTAAGGTACTTTGAAGTATGGAGCCCTGGAGTGATAGGTACGGAACCTCGGTGCTACAGTCAAAGGAGCGCAAGACACACAATGATGTAGACTTTCCTTTCGGGACGCTCGTGTAGAATATCTGAAGTAGCAACGGGTTGGCAAGGTGCCTAGGTTGGTAAGGGAATGCGAGGCAAGAAATCGACAAATCGACCAAGTCACAAGTGCGCTCAGGTCTTGAAAATGCGCCAAAGTGACAGCACCTCCGACGCGGTTTTTTTTCCCCGAGCGCGCCCCCTGGCGGTCGATCCTTTCATGTCCTTTCAACAAACTTCTGATTGGCCCACAAGGTTCTCTGCCCCTGAGTTCCTGGACAGCCCTGCGTCTTCGCATAATCCATCTATACCCCTTAAGGATGCAATGCTCATTATTGCATTTCCACGCATAATACACTTGTGGTCAGGATACGGATACCTCACTTATTGCCATTCACCTTACCTAGTTCTCCGAGGGCAAATACGGTCCTTCTTCTCACTCCTAAAACTGACTCTAATAATGGGAGGCATGACTCGTATCTTTCGCAACTCCCTCTCTCTCAGCCCACCTAAGCGAAGGGACTGGTCAGTCAGTCTGGTCTCCTGCAGATATGCACAGAGCAGGCGCCTTCAACTCGGCACCTGAACCCAACACAGGTAGCTACGTACATCCCGCGTCGCGGACGACGAATTGCAGTGGGTCACATCAAATGCTGGCAAGTTACGACTTAGTAGGTAGGGCTTGTAAGTGAACAAAATGGGACTTGATTATACACCCGTCTAAGGTAGTCTCACTCTTGGCCTTTGGTGATATACGTAGTCTGCAGGCCTTCACAGCCGTGATTCCATGCCAGCCATGTTTTCCTGCCCGTACAAAAAGAGAAATGAATAGGTAGCAGTCGGAAAGACACAATACACGCCTGATAATGGACATTAAAAACCTGCCGCCGAAGTCTAGGTTGTTCGTCCTTCCTCGGAACGTCCCTAAACCGCTTGTGGAACGACGACTCTCTCTACCACCCCCAAATGCGTCTATGATACAGCTCGTACAATTAGAAAAGGCGCACTCTCTGCGAGTTGCTAGTCTTGGACGCCTTTGCCGACGATGAAGTCATCGTAAGGTAGGCTCCCGAGTAGTCTGCCGCTCCAGTTCCAGTCTCAGTCTCCCCACGCGTGTTGTCGTTGTTAAGGCTGGTAGGTTGGATCAGGGCCAGGTCCGTCGTGTCCAGAGACTTGAAGATGCTCATAGGGATTTTGTCACCAACGACGGCAGGGCCGATCATGAGAGCCATGAAGAGAATGAACATGGTGAAGTAGAGAATGGCATAGCGGAAGACACGCTTGCGTCTCAACTTGGACTGCTTCATTGAGTAGATTGGCGGGCGGATTTGGCGACTGTGAGGGGTTTGTTAGCAATGCTGCGGGAACGGATTGTGGACGAGTGATGGTGATACGTACCCAGGACGAAGCCAGAAGAGCATCATCGAGTGCAACATGTCAATCTTGGGCACAAGGATGACCGGAAGCATGATGAAGAGAAGGAAGTGGCCCAAGACAAAGTCGGCCGCGAACATGCTCAGCTCCGTAATCTTGCAGAGGAATTCACGGGCGGGCTGGGAAACTGAGTGCCATCCCATAGAATACCACTTGCCGGTCCAGAATGCAATGTTCGCCGCGTCCGTCTTGATCTCACGCGTCAAAGTGAGCGAGATAATCAGCTTGAAGACGAAACGTTGGATGGCGACCACGGCGATCATGCCAAGCAGAGTTCGGGCGAAATCGAAAGACTCGAGCAGGAACATGACCTCGAAGAAGACAAGCAACATGATCACGGCAATGCCGTGGGCAATCGCCGCAAGGACACTACCGAACTTCTTGCAGCACATGCTCAGGAGGGGACCCATGAAACAGGCCATGAAGAAGAACATCAACAACGCGCCGGCGTTGACTGCAATAGGGGCCAGTGCGACAACTCCGACTCTGATCAAAGAGTTGGTGCGCTTGATCGCCGAAGATGAGGCATCGGGGTTGTTGGAAGCAGAGACGCCGGTCTGGGCGTTGATGTACAGGTACGGAATGACAGTGACGGCCACGAGGAGCAGAGGAGTAAGAATCTCGCCCCAGAACATGTTGGTGATAGCCGCACGGGGTACGTCAGACGACATCTTGGCAGACGGGTCACCGAGAGCCTTGCGCTTATAACCTGTAATACGGGTACGAGACAGACGGCAGAAGGCGATCCAGGAGGATGCGTGAGAGCGAGAGTTACCACGGGACAGCCACCTCAAGAAGTCGCGGTAGTCGATGAAGAAGTCGCTCCAAGCGAACTGGTGCGGGTTGTACAGGAAGGGCGAGATAACCAGGGCGAGAAGAGAGATCCAGAAGTAGACGAGTGCGGCTTGCCAGATGGTGACGGTGGCGAAGAGAAGCATCATTAGTAGACGAGATCCGAAGTAAATCGAAGGGCCGGCAAAACGAGAGTACAAGACACCGAAGGGAATGCGAGCAGTCGCAAAGCCACGACCAGTACCAATGTACCGGGCACCGCCAAACGAGAGATCCTGCTGTACCGAATTTGCGTAAATCTGGCAAACGAAGACCTCGAAGAACGGCGAGAGGGAAGAGAATTGCTTGCCAAGACGCTTGGCGGCACGCCAGAAACCTCTCTCAGTCAACTCTTGGACGACCAGCGGCACGAAAGCCAAAAGCAACACGAAGATAATGGAGAGAATGCAGCGGTACACCCAATCCATGAGAGCATCGGTATTCTGGCAACCAGTAGGGAAGAGAGGATCGGTGATGGGAACGTCGCGGTTGTAGTCGCACGCCTTTGTTTCTTTCCGGAGGGCACCCAAGCTGAGCAAGCAGATCATGAACATCTGGACGGACAACATAATGAACATGTTGTTGAGATGGAAACCAGGATGGGCGTAGTAGAAAGAGAGGAAGCGGTCCAGAGGCAGTTGAGTTCCGAGGTAGTAGTACTCGCGAGACAGCATCTGCTCACCCATACCAGTTCCAATCTTGGTGGTGAAGTTAAGAATTGAGCCGAAACCCAAATCACGACCCTTACCACACTGGTAGTACTCGCAGTGCTTGATCCTGCCACCGCGCAAGATGGCGTTCATGCCGGCGTAGATATCCTCATTGAGATGCAGACCCTTTTGGGCTTTGGAAACACCACCGCGGGTCGTCATGAAGATACCGTTGAGGAAATCCGGGTGACCGTAATGAAGCTTGCCTCCAATCTGAGCAAGAGTACGGGCGAAGAGAGTACCGAATGTCTGTTCCTTTCCAGCAGCAACGTCACCGAGGATACCAATGTTCTCCGAGAAAATGTACTCGCGAGCACCAAGAATAGCGACAGGGTTGGTCATCTTGCTCTTGACACCAGGAGTGTAGGGGCTGACATTATCAGTCTTCATCTCCTCGAATTCGGCAAGGACGGATCGGATCTTGAGGCACTCCTCGAGGTAGTTGTCCTGGTTGGCGTCGATAAGCTGGATGTATTCACCGCGGTAGAAGATGAGCGAGTGGTTCTGGTTGTCGGATTTGCCGTCTCCCAAGATGGGGTTGCCGGAAAGCTGAATGCGGAACTTGGGCTTGCGCATGCCGTTCTCCATAATCTCTGAGTGACCGTCGATGAGAGCAGAGTACAGACGAGGCTCCTCGCCCTCAGCCAGAGGGGGCTCTTCGTCGAGGTAGGCGATCTGAAGATCGGGGTAGGCACGAAGGAGGAACTCGGCGTTCTCCATCTCTTCCTTCTTGAACTTGGCGTAACGCTGCATGGAAACACAGAGCTTGAACTTGCGACGAGCCATGCGCTCGAGCTCACGCTCGAGCTTGTCGGAGTTGCCACCGAACATTTGGACAACCTCTGGGTTTTCCACGCGATACAAAAGCTTGATAGCTCTACTATAATTCATGAAGCCAGAAATCGTGCGATACAAGGTCTGGAAGCGAAGAGATGCCCAAATACGGGTTCTGAGGGTGTACTCGGGGGCAGAAGATTTGAAACCAATACAGTAGAAGGGCAAGTCGTCGATCTTGCTCTTGGCGGTGTCCTTTTCGTTCTTCTCGTTGGTGTTGCCGTCGCCGTTGAACTGGGAGGTTTCATCGGCCAGGATCTTTGTGTCCTTGACGAAGCAGTCCCATTCATGCGGGTGAAGCTGCTTGAGGTACTCAAGCAAAGTCACGCGAGAGTAGGGCTCATCCTCGCGAATAATCTCACGGAGAGAAAGCAGAATCTTTTCGCTGTAATGAGGAATGAGGACGGTGAAGGTCGGCATATTATCGACTGGCACAGGCTCCGGGATAGGAGTCGACAGCGATTGAGCGAAGAAGGAAAGACGTCTCTCGGCTTCGCTGTCGGTAGGGAAGAACTCAGTCTTGAACGAGTGATCTTCCTGAGAAACGAAGAAAGTAGGCGCTCTCAATGTTCTCTTACCCTCCTGCTCGGAAGGAACCTGGTGGTAGAGAAGCTTCTGCACGTGGTCAATGGCCAACAAGTGCTCTCTGTACATGGAGATGACGATGGCGTTCCACACTTGGGAGATGAGAACCTTTGGCTTGTACTTGATCTCCATGTCGCCAGTAGCGAGAATCTTGGAGTAGATGCGCTTGGGCAAGCGAGAGAAAATGTTTCTCCAAGGTGTCCAGATGGAAGAACCGATATAGAAGGATCGGGCAATGGAGAAAATCGCATTGACCAAGACATACCACAGGTACGTGTCGAGGAAGAAAAAGATC